GACTGGAAGAAGTTGGCGGAAATCCCGAACTCTGCAGGCGAGCCATTGGTGGATGAGGAAAGGTTGGACAAGTTCAATGTCTTGAGCTTGTTTATCAGGCAAGGTGGTCCTTTCGGAACAAGGAAAGTACAGGTTTGGGACTTCGCACTCGCACCTTAAACCCGTTGCATACACGAGTAATTCAATAACACAAGGATGTTGACAAGAAATCAGCTTCCTAATGCCCTTTTCTGTGCAGTTCTACCTTAGCGCTCTGCCACTCCTTGCTTACTGCTCATATACATGACATGATCGGAGCATGGAAGGTTTCTCGGAGGGATTATGGTATGCGCTAGCACGTCTAACGACATCATTGCACATCGGTCCCGTCCTCACTAACCTAACGTTTAAACGTCAACCTGGATACGCGAGAACGCACGTTCACTCCAACTGTAAGTCTAGCTGGAGTTGGTATAGTCCTATAGAGTTCCGCGGGGAAAACGCGTTCTCGGAAGCTCCGGTGTGGCTCGTTTCCTGTGTCTCGGTTCCACTCCATCATGCACCCGCCGACTACGCGCATAAGAGATTTCCGGCATTACGGAATAAGCGGAGTGACAACGGGGAAAAGATGCGGGGCGCGCTCACGCCTACCTATGTTGTCACGGAGAATGTAAAATTTTACGCTCTAGTCCTAGATGCATCGGAGTCTTGGGGAAGCATCGGAGTCTTGGACGAGTCTTGGAGAAGCATAAAGCTGGTGATGTCTCTCTACATGATCCGTATCGGACCGGATACCAATTCACCATGCCTTCCCATCTTTCCGTCCTCGCAGCCATCGGCGGCCTGCTCACGTTTGGGCATGCACAAGTGTCATCCAACACAACAGCATCGGCTACGAGCACATCTACATACTCGCAATCCGATGTGCCGACGGGAACACCATTGCCGGGCGACTATGATGAGCCGCTTCGACCTCAAGTTCACTACAGCCCACCCGTAGGGTTCATGAGTAAGTTTCCAAAAACACAAGAGTTACGAGACCACTGTTGACATGAGACTTCTCTTGCAGATGATCCCAACGGCATGTATGTTGATGAGGATGGCGTATACCACTTGTATTATCAGTACAACCCTACCGCAAACGTCGCTGGCAACCAGCACTGGGGCCATGCTACTAGCGAAGACCTCTACACATGGACCAACCAGCCCATTGCTCTCTTCCCTGGTGGCCCCACAGAAGGAGTTTTCTCAGGATCAGCTGTCATAGATTCGAATAACACCAGCGGTTTCTTCCCAAACCAGACCAACGGCGTGGTCGCAATCTACACCATCAATGTTCCCGAGAACCAGACTCAGCACATTGCCTACTCGTATGACAACGGCTACTCCTTCACCAAATATGAGAACAACCCTGTCATCGTACCCGGTGGCACCAACCCCACCCAGTTCCGTGATCCAAAGGTGATCTGGTATGAGCCCACCGAGAGCTGGGTCATGGTTGTGGCGTACCCCGTCGACTTCGAGGTCGGCATCTTTACTAGTCCCAATCTCATCGACTGGACGCCTACGTCAAACTTTTCCCACCACGGTATCACTGGTCTGCAGTACGAGTGCCCGAACATGGTCGAGATGCGCGTGGAGAACTCTACCGACAGTGATGAATCCAAATACGTTATGCTTATCTCAATCAATCCGGGTGCACCGCTCGGTGGATCTATCACAGAGTACTTTGTTGGAACATTCAACGGCACGCATTTCGAAGCCGACGATGCGCGCACTAGGCTCACGGATTTCGCAAAGGATAACTATGCTGGACAGTTCTTCTATGGTATTCCTGCCGGGGAAGACCAGGTTACACTTAACTGGGCGAGCAACTGGCAATACACCAACGTCGTTCCCACTGCTGGCGAGGCTGTAGGTGATGGTTTCAGGAGTGTCATGACAGTGCCAAGAGGCCACTACCTGAAGGATCTCCCTCGCCAGGGTCTGTCGCTGATCTCGTACCCGTCAAAAATCATGTCTATCGTCGACTCGGAGTTAGCTTCCAACGACTCCCTTGGTAACGGTACCGTCTTTGTTGACTACTCCACCGTTGAGTCAGGCGCGCTCTACTTCGAAGCCAACGTTACCGGTATCACTAGTGGGCCGTCCCTTGCCGGATCTATCAGCTTCACCTTCCAGTCTTCTGTGTCGGGAGAGTCAATTTCAGGTGGCACTTTCATCTCATCCGGCGACGTGTGGCTAGACCGCGGAAAGACCGACGCTTTCCAAAGCCCTTACTTCACCGATAAGTTCACTGCTACAGGTCTTTACAATGAGGATGACGGGTCGTGGAGGATCTCTGGCATCATCGACAGGAGCATTATCGAGATCTTCCTGAACGGTGGCGAACTCAGTGCGACTTCGGTCTTCTTCCCCACACAGCCTCTTGACACGATGATGCTGAGGGTTTCGGGCTTGAACGAGACAGTGACGGCCAGTGTAGGTGTCTGGGGACTTCAGGCTGCCTGGCTAAACCAGGCAGATGAGAATGGTATTGTTGCTGGCAATACGACCGAAAGTGGTAACTCAACTGCGGGAGCTGCAAAGCTTCTCTAGATGTATCGTAGTATATGTGCGAACAGTCACGCACAATAGATTCTGTAATATCTGACGAGTCCTCGACTTCTTTTTCTTTGCGTGATGACTACCATATCTAAGGCAGAATACATTTGCTTGGTTATGCCAGTCTATTGTGATTGCATTTCCTAGCTTGTACGTATTGCACCGCGGATATCACTTAGTCCGACAGCCGATATGTTCTCCACTCCACAGCTCGTGATCGGTGGCAAGCATAGTGGGGACAAGCCCTTTAGCGTCCGCCTCCACACCCGAACCTTATCCGCGGAAGGATCACTCAATTTCGTTAAACACATCGTATAATAGTCATTGGGCTTCGGCATGTGTGGCAGTGCCGTCATCGCAAGGTTTCAAAGTGTCTAAATGCGGAAGAACTTGTATGCCAAAATCTTCCGCCCCACAGCAAACCGAAAGTTCGTTCGCGGAGTAACTCCGGAAGTAATCCGGTTCCTTGGATGTCTATCACGCGGCCACCTTGGATTGATTTTCTAATCATCTTATTCGTGGAGGACTTTGAAATTGCTTCATTTGTCTATGTTGCCGAAGTTGTAACTGGTTTGTCGTGTACCAGTCCTTGCTAGAGCTCATTCCCAAATAGCCACCAAGCGCCGAGGTAGTACTATAGCATCGTGTATACACTACCCCGCTTCCCGTATGCTCCAAGAGCCAAGTGTATTCTTAGTGACCAGATGGTGTGTGCGGACGCGATACCTGAATAAGAAGCTGACATTGAGATCGACTGCTGTATTTAAGGAGAGAGTGAAGATGATGAAAGAATGTAGTGATTGATAGCAGTTCCACTCGATACTTCTTTACGATGCGCACATCAACCTTCCTCAGAACGGCCTTGGTGCTGGCCAGCGGTTACTCTGTCAATGCCGATATCACGACTACAATCGACCCCAAGAGCAACTGGGGTACGTGGGAAGGTTGGGGAACTTCGCTGGCATGGTGGGCGCAACAGTTCGGCGACAGAGATGACCTTGCGGATATATTCTTTACGCTGAAGCAAACCAAATTCAACGGTGAAACCCTACCAGGACTTGGCTTCAACATTGTCCGCTACAATGCGGGTGCGTGTAGCTGGAATGCCGTCGATGGGGAGAAGATGGTAGTATCGCCGAACGTGAAGAGATCGAGGCAGATGGAGGGCTACTGGATAGACTGGAAGAGCAATGATTCGTCCTCCTCAAGCTGGAACTGGTATAGTACCCGCCTTCTTCATTTGCTCTGAGTTTCCTTACTGACCACTGGTTGTTCCTCAGGTCCGTTGACGTCAAACAACGAGCCATGCTCCAGAAGGCGATCTCACGTGGAGCGGATAGAACGGAATTGTTTTCGAACTCGCCGATGTGGTGGTATGTAGCTATCAAATATAAGCGATATGTGGAATGTAGACTAACTGCTTTTAGGATGACAAAGAACCACAACCCCTCAGGTGCAGCTGACGGTAGCGAAAACATCCAATCCTGGAACTTGGAGCAGCATGCGATCTACATGGCGAATGTAGCAAAGCATTTCAAGGACAACTGGGGCGTCGAGTTCGAAACTGTAGATCCGTTCAATGAGCCAAGCGCCAACTGGTGGAAAGCAGACGGTACGCAAGAAGGATGCCACGTCGACGTATCCACCCAAGCCAAGATTGTCGGCTTCCTCGATACACATCTCGCGAGCCGCGGACTGTCAACGAAGATTGCGGCATCCGATGAGTCGTACTACGACCAAGCTGCTACCACCCTGAAGACGATTGGTAGCAGTGCACTCAGCAAGATTGATAGGATCAACGTGCATGGTTACCAGTACGGAAGCGGTGATCGCGCTGGTGTCCATACGCTAGCTACACAGGCTGGAAAGTCTCTCTGGAACAGTGAATACGGTGATGGTGTGGCCTCTGGCGAGAACATGGCTAGATACCTCCTCCAGGACCTCCGCCAATTGAAGCCTACAGCATGGGAGTACTGGCAGGTCTTGGACCAAGGTGGGTGGGGATTGGTAGACGCGGACAATGATGCGAAAACGCTGGGTTCATCCACACAGAAGTACTATGTACTCGCGCAATTTGCAAGACATATGCGCCCAGGAATGCGGATCCTCGATGGCGGCCGGGACAACGTCGTTGCTGCTTACGATGCGAGCAAGTCATTATTGGTTATCGTAGCCGTGAACTGGGACGCGGCGCAGTACCTAAACTTCGAATTGTCGGGCTTCTCGGGACGTCCTTCATCCGGGGCAACCGTTTCGCGGTGGAGCACTCAGATTGGCAGCGGTGATCGGTACGTGCAGCATCTCGACACTACGATCAGCGGGACAAAGTTCTGGTCGAAGTTTGAGAAGAACATGGTGCAAACTTTCGAGGTTACGGGTATCAAGTTGTAAAGCATAGCGCATGCGATACCGTGAAATTATCCGATTCTTTGCTTTCTTCTGACCCATATCTCGTCGCCCTCACTGCCAGCTCTTTGCTGAACTTCCCAAACTTGGAGCCTGTAGCTTCCGCGATCTGACCGGCCGGTATGCAGATCGAAGGACCAGTCGTGCTTGGGACATTGGATACCTGAGCTCAGCACGACGCCAAAGTCTTCAATATCGAAGGGCGTGCCATTAGAGAGTGGATATGACGAGTGTGGGCATTCCTGCAAATGTTATGATTAACATGTGCGCCAGATGTACAGCACCGAATATCGCAACATACGTGGTTGATAGCGCAAAACTTTCCCTTGTATCGAAACACCATTACTTGATCTTTCGCATCACCACCGACTTCAGGGTCTTTCCAATCATCGATCGCTACCTCAGTTGCTTTGGAGCTGTCATCGCGGGGCACGTGGAATACTCGGCATCCTGGAACATGCTTTTTTTCGCCGCAAGGGCGCTGTTCACCGACGCGCGCAGAGTCATCAAGATTTGGGTACAACGTCACTGCACCAGCGCAGAACCACGCGTTTCCAGCTTGGGACGATCGAGAAAAAGGATTGACCAGGAACGACATGCTGAGTGGCGGGGATGGCAACTTTTGAGAAGCTATAATATGCAAGCGACGATGTACGAAGTACGATGGGGACTCGGTTTCCGCTAGAACTAGCCCGATAACGCGCTAGACGCCCGTAGAAAGAGGCTAGACTCGGCCATGTCAACATGTCAACAGAGACTTTCATATGTACGCCCTGTGGTCGAATGTAGAAGTCTTCGTCCTAACATGGTATTTTTAGAGCGTTCACTGTAGCAGTATGTAAATGAATAAGTATTGAAGCAAGTTGAAAAAAATGTTCAGACACACATCTTTACGCACATTGCACGTCATCGTACCAGCCTCCATATCTTCATCATTGCCTTTTGCACGCCGCACAGCTGACCTTCGCTTTTTGTCCACAATCGCCTCGAACATGGCAAATATCCAGGATCCCTCAAGCTATCTTGCCAATGCGCGCATTGCACCAGAGATATTCCAGCTTCGATCAGACTACCGCGCCCTGCTCATGGTAGTTACCAACATCCCACCAGGCCCTTGCGACGCGACCAGCGAAGCCTTTTTATCTTCTGCAGAAGCAACAGCTAAAGCATCTCTTGCGAAAACTCCAGTCAACGATGTTGCTCATGTCGCGCAATGGAAAGAAGCCTACAAGGCCTTCGGCGCAAAGCCCAAGAAGACTATGAACAGCCTCGAAGCGCTATTGCGTCGCGTTGACGCAGGCTTACCACGTGTTAATCGACTGACGGATATATATAACGCCATCTCAATCAAACATCAGATTCCTTTGGGAGGCGAGGATCTGGATAAGTACCAAGGAAGCCCGTTCCTGATACGCGCGAAGGGTGATGAAAACTTTGACACCAAATCTGGCGGCGAAATCGTCATTGAACACCCAAGTCCCGGAGAAGCAGTATGGTGTGACGATGGCGGCGTGGTAAGTGACACTGTACGAGCTGCATATGAGAGAGACATATACTGATTCTGTACGACTACAATTAGACCTGCAGGCGCTGGAATTGGAGGCAATGCTCGAGGACTGCGTTGAGCGACGGAACATCCAACGTGCTCTTCATTTTGGATGCATTGGAAGCTCTTGATGATGCGAAGCTAAATGCCGCGGCAGACGAGCTGAGTGAAGAGTTGCAAAAGCTATCTGCAGATGTGAAAGTCGAGCGCCGATTAGTAACATCATCGTAGATATTGAATAACATAAACATCTGTATCATACTGTGGAAACGCTATTCAAGCATATTGTGGTATCTCGAAATACCCATGGTACTATCTTTATAGATTATGTATAATGATATCCGCAGCCTACTCAGCGTTAGTGAGTTTCTGTTCAAATGTCTCTCTCTCCACTGACCTTTTCTGCAATAGCATACGCCGTAGAGCTGGTATGTGCACTTGGCAGGAACGGTAGGATGCTGATGTCGACAACACGTAGACCAGCTGCACCGTGGACCTTGAGATCCGGTCCTACAACGCCTCCTAGATTTCTAGGTAACATAGCAGCTGTGCAGCATGGGTGCAAGTGTGACAGCACCATTGACTCCTTAACAAACGCTTTGAGATCTTCGTCCGATTGGATAGCTGGGTCTGGACTAACTGCTACAGCACCATATTTACGCATGGTGGGTGTATCAAGTACCTTGCGAAGCCATCTGAGATGAGCGATGTGGATGGAGAAATCAATTGGGCTAGATCCAGCGCGGTAGTCGAGTATAGGCTGAGCCAAGTGATCTGTCAGATTGAGATGGACAGTGCCGCGACTCAACGGATGGAGAATGATTGGGCGCATGGTCGTCCCAGTTGCAAACGGTACTTCCACACTAGGAGCCTCGGAGTTCTCAAGAAGGTCCGCAAGTACGTGAAGTTGGCGTTTGTAGCCGTCAATGAGGGTTGAGTGAGACCCTTCGGGCAGATGAGAGGCCGCTGAGCCGTCGTCGGCAACTCTGCGCATCTCTTTGATTATACTCATATACTCTTCAGTGACATTAGGAAGTGATATGTAGAGAGCAGTTGAACTCATAGCCAATGTGTATGGGCCTCTTGCTGGTGTCATGTTGAACTCTGCTGCTGCTTGATTGGCAAACGCAGGATTGAGCATATCCGAAGGCATGTTGGAAAAGTTACCGGGCTTCGAGTCTGTAGTGGAATCAGCGTCTAGTCGTTCTTAATCAACGAAAAGCGGATCCACTTACAATTCCATGATATGCCGGGCGAAGAATGGTCTTGCAAGTTTGAGCCTACACCAGGAAGATCCAATACAGTAGTGATGCCCATAGCTTCTAGCGAGGGTGCGGGTCCGATACCGCTCCTTTGCAGGATGGTAGGCGTATGTAATGCGCCGGCAGAGACTACAACTTCGACTCTGGCCGTTACGTTGAACGTCTCGTCTCCCGCCAGAGATCTCGCCTCAACTAATGGTGGACCTTTTGAAACGTCGTCAGGATAAACGACCCTGATCACTTGGTGCTTGACTAGCAAGTCATAGTTGTAGTTGTTACACGGGGTTAGGCTATACTTCTCTAGGCTCGGTCCGTACTAAGGCGAGGTAGACTAAAGCGGTAGTCCGTGAGGTATCGTATGGAATGATCAGGTGGAAAAGAGTTATCGTTGTAACC